AGATGCGAAGTGTAGATATCGACATAGACAATAGATGGATCGTGCCATACTCGCCACTACTTTCAAAAATGTTTAATGCTCACATCAATGTTGAGTATTGTAATTCGGTAAACTCCATAAAATATATTTGTAAATATGTTAACAAGGGCAGTGACATGGCAGTATTCGGATTAGCAAATCGAGGTGATGAGATCACGCAATATCAAACAGGGCGCTACATCAGCAGTAACGAAGCAGTATGGCGCATATTTGCATTCAATATTCACGAACGATATCCAACGGTTCAACATCTCGCTGTTCATTTGGAAAATGGTCAGCGGGTTTATTTCACCGAAGAAAATGCGCAAAATAGAGCAGAGCAACCACAAAACACAACACTGACCGCTTTTTTCGAATTGTGTACATCCGAAAATTTTGCTAAAACGTTGCTGTATCAAGATGTGCCCAAATATTATACGTGGAACACATCGACAAAAAAGTTCAACAGTAGAAAAAGAGGTGCAATTGTTCCAGAGCATCCTGGTATATAGTCGTCCGATGCATTGGGACGTGTGTATACTGTTCATCCAAATAACGCCGAGTGCTATTATTTGCGGTTGTTGCTGCATACAATCAAAGGGCCGACATCATTTCTTGCATTGAAAACCATCGACGGAGTAGAATACCAAACGTATAGAGAAGCGTGCTTTAAACTGGGCTTACTTGAGAATGATCAGAATTGGACCACAACTCTGACCGAAGCATCACTCACGTGCCATCCAAGCAAATACGAACTTTGTTTGCGATAATTTTAACAACATGCGCACCATCGAATCCTCGACAACTGTGGGAAATGCATCGTGAAAGCCTCAGTGAAGATATTCTAAGACAAGCACGTGCAAGCGATCCAAATCAGGAATATTCGGATGACATTTTCTATGAAGCTTTAATATTAAAGGAGGACTTATGCATGTCAATCAACAACAAAGCTCTTTGTCGACTCGGTATGCCAGCACCGACACGAGATAGAAATGCTGTACGAGACAGAGACTTGATGCGAGAACAGCAGTTTGATGCAAATCAGCTTGAACGATTTGTGCAAACGCAAAAAGAGTTGTTAGTTGCTGATCAGAAAAAAGCTTATGACAAAATCATGCAACGTGTAACCAAAGCAGATGGCGGAATTATCTTCCTAGATGCTCCAGGAGGTACCGGCAAAACTTTCCTCATCAATTTAATATTGGCGTCAGTTCGAATGCGAAATGGGATTGCAGTAGCAGTAGCATCATCGGGGATTGCATCAACACTACTTGATGGAGGACGTACAGCGCATTCATCACTTAAGCTTCCATTGAATTTTAACCAGACCGAAACACCTACATGCAGCATCAGCAAAAACTCTGGTATGGCCAAAGTCCTTAAAACGTGAAAAATTATAATTTGGGACGAATGCACCATGGCACATAAGAAATCGCTCGAAGCACTTGACCGAACTCTGCGAGATTTTCGTGGAATTTCGTGGAAAAGACCAACCGATGGGAGGCGCTCTTATACTTCTTGC